CAGGCAGGCGCCCGCCCCACGCGGCCCCGCGGGGCTTTGCTCTCCCCGCGGGGAAAACGCCAGCGTTTTCTTGAAGCCGAGCACTGCGAGATCCAAAAAGAGGAAATATCAGGAAACAAATCTTTCTCTTGCTCTTTCTTTTTTTTTCCTTTTATTTTTTAACTGAGCAGCAACAACAAAAAAAATTGCTCCTTCCAGCAGGCAGTCTGATTCAGTTGCACAAGAACAACACTTGAAATAACAAGCAACATTAACGTACTTCTTTTTAATTTGGGGAAAAAGGGTGGGGAGGGAGGCAAGAGGGTTTTTAATTTTTTCACCATACCGTTTGGGAGACTGTTTACCAAAATAATAATAATAATAATAATAATAACAATAATAATAATAATAATATTAAATCTGAAAGAAGTGATTCAGTATTTTTTAAAAATGAACAAGGGAATAAATAAGCCACCGGGGTCCTTCGAGGAGGTGACTTGCTGGGCAGATGCAAGAGCTAGAAGTCAAGACTGCATCCAATTTTGGGGTGGGTTTTTTTTTCCCACTGGCATGGCTTTGTAGGCAGAAAACAGACATAAGTGGCTGGAGGTCCGTGGCAGCGAAAGTGAGTAGCGTAATTACTGGCAAAGTAGCTAATAAGGAAAAGGCAGACCATGATAGAAAGAAGCATTGTAAACACAGTAATTAGCCAATTTCTGGAAATATTGATCTTCAGGGTGGAAATTGTGTCTGGGGCATCAGCTGCTGAAGCGTTGGGTCTCCCCCAACATCTCCGACAGGGAATTCATAAGTTTCACTGTAACTAGGATGAAATAGCAAAAAGCACAAAAAGGAGAGTGGAAAGCTCTCAAATTTGGGTATTTTCCCACTTTTCCAACCAATTCAGTATTTTCTCCTTTGAAAAATCATTTCAAACATGGAAATCAATGTGAAAGTCGTCGTGTTGAGTTGCACTTCTTCTAGCACAGGAGCTGTCTCCATGCCAGGCTGGGATTTATGAATTCCCCGTTCACCGGAGAGTCCTGCTTCAGAGGCAGATGCTTTTCCGAAAACAACAGATGCCAGTCGAGGAAACCACCCCATCTCACGCTTCAACCCATCCCCATGTCCCAGCCTCAAGGTGGATCGTGCCTTAGAGATGCAAACTCATCCCACGCCCCAGCCCTCCTCCCCGGCACCCCGCTTGCATCCTTCCCTTGGGGCGACATCCCCTTTGCTCTGCCCCTGTGTCAGCGCCCGCATCCCACCATCAGCTGTGTTTTAGGCTGGCCTTGATGGCACACTGGTTTAGCTTTTGCTACGGCACAAGGCAAACCACCCCGTGCATGGGAAGCCTTTGCCCCTGCCCTACTCCCCGCCTTAGCACAGAGGGAAGGAGCCGGGAAGACGCAGGTTGCGGGTCCCTTCATCCCGGCCGTGCTGCTCATTGGTGCTCTGGGAGCCAAAATCTGGCTCCCTGCTCTCCGTGGCCATGGGAAAGGCTTTGGTACCCACAGGCATCCCGCACCTGACGCGGGGTGCGGAGCCCCAGCAGCACCCGGCCTCGGGGAGAAGGGGTTGAGAGCGGGGTCCCCAGCAGCATTTTGGCTGTGACGGGCTCCCGGTGCTTTTCTCCCCCCTGCCCACATCAGGGAAGCCGTGTCCCAGGGATACAACTTGCTGTGGCATGTCCAAACATCGGTGGCAGATTTGTCCTGTGTCCCCATCCCCATCTCCTTCTTGCAAAGGGCTCTGGGGAGCAGCTGCCCCGGTGCCCCCGCACTGCCCGGTGCCCCCGAGCATCATGTCTCGCCAGCCGGCCGCGGGATGGGGACCGGGACTTCGTCCCCGCAGAGTTTTCTCCCCACCCTGTTCCCACCAGCGTCCATCACCACGATCCCGTGCTGCAAACCAAGGGGCTGCTCTATTTTCGGCTTCCCCTAAAAACCAGCCACTGGGTGGAAACATCCCCGGGGGCAGCGCCGGGAGGGAGCCGGCCGTTTTGGCACCGAGTGCCCCAGACGGGCTGTCCCCAAAAGCGGGGACATGTATGGATGTGCCATTGAGCTCCGGCCACGACATTTGTGTTTCTAAGACAGTGAACGCAGATGCCATCCCATCGCCGGTCCCTTTGCTCCCAGGGGGGGATGGTTTTGCCACCCGCTTTTTGCCCCATAGCATCTGGGGGGTGGGAAGGATGGAGGGGGGCGCAGAGAGATTTTGTGTGCGCACTACTTATTTATTTTTTTTAAAAAATGCTTTTAAGTGGTTTTAGGTTCTTTTGAATAAATAATAATTATAAAAAAAAGGTGCACATCTTGCTGCTGTAGGGTTCTCAGAGGGTTAATTTCTTTATAAATATATATATATCTCACAGTAAATATTTGTATAAAAATGAAAGAGAAATAGAGATGTCTTTAAGTAAATTATTGCTTTTAAAGAAACTTCTATGATTGTACAGTGTTACCTGGGAGAATAGAATAATATATACAGATGTATTTTTAAACTGCTGCGTAGGAGGATGTGAACTGGGCTGGGGAGCGCCCGTGGCTGGCACGGCGAGGGGGGGTTCGGACCCTCCCCAGCCCCCGTTCATGCACCCCCCTTCCCCGAACC